TAAACTTTTATAATAATCGCACATCGATAAATTTATTTTTGACATGAGCGATATACAGCAGTCAATTATAAGTTAAACCGTACAATGTAAAAGTCGGTTAGAATAATATATGGATAGAGGCGTGGGCGGAGACGAAGAGGGAGGAATAAAGCATGAAAACATGTCTGCCGGATCCTAGCACTAGGCCTTTTACATAGTAAAAATGACTCTTTCCCCGCCCAACACTAGCTATCACTATCATTGCCATTGTCAGCATTGCTACTGAATATGTTACTACTTCCACCTAAAAGCCTATTATTACTACTGTTAACGGTAACGTCTATTTCATATTTTCTGATTTTCTTTCTCACAGATTTTATGGACATTTTTGATGCCGGTAAAAGGAGGCGAGTGTGGCAGGGCTAAGGCCAATTTCTCCCGATAAGACATTATACATTTTCGTGGGAGAACGCCCTTCCCTCTTCCTTCTATCGTTAAATATGACGGTAAATTCTACCCAGAGAGTCTCGGCTTCGTCAGAGTAGTCGAATCTCTGGCTTCTTGTAGATTCTTGTCCTTAAATTAAAAAAACAAAAAAACAAAACAAACTTTAGCATAGCCACGTGTGGAAGCTGGGATTCCCTAACCTAATGTTGGCGATCTGATTCCACTTCATTATAGAAACGAAATAAATTTGAGAGAATAGCACTGAGCAATTGCACAAACGTGATCCAAATAAGTGTTTGTATCTCAAACACCATTCATCCATGACAATGATAACAGTTAAAGTATTTGACTGTCATGGGTTAGTGCGTGGTATTACTGGGTATTTTGTATTAAGCGGTGCAATTGATTTAGTCATGTCATTTTGCACTGATAATAACCTGTATAAATAAATCTAAAAATGAATCATTACAAGATATGGAGTCCCGAGAACTGTGGAGGGCAGTTCTCTCTTGGACGGCTCGAACTAGAAAAAGCACGCTGGAATTTTACAAGGCACTAAAAAAGGCATCTGGAGAACGAACCGAAAATGTTATTTATATTTGTGTAATAAAATCATTCGGCGATTGCATATAGTTTATATGGCACGTCTGGCAGCGAATCCAGACTTTTAAATTACCAAGTCATCTCGGGATTATTAGCAACTTCTGCGTTCATGAAAAACAAAGAGAGTACGATCGCGTAATTTGATTTGTGTGCCACCACGTAGGCTTTCAACATGCTAAATTATTTATTGCTTAAATCTTTGAGGTTACTTTGCTCTCTGACGGTCTACTTTTCAGCGATAATCCGCCATCAACTGCGATGACAGCACCTGTAACAAATGCTCCGGCAATAGAGGAAAGGTACAAGGCCGTACCTGCAAGATCCGATTCGATTCCCAATCGACCTGTATATGTGAGATGGTGAATGACATCATTAGTGTGCGATCGGGTGAATAAGACAATGAACAACCGTTTCTCAGCGAGGCCAGAAAAACATATATACCAATCGGGGTATCTTCGATTGAAGATTTTTCGTCTTGGTACTTGGACATTATCGTCGGAAAAACGCCCGGGGCAATCACATTCACATTTATACCGCGAGGACTAATTAAAATCAATGATTAAGAAAAAAAGCTTGTGTGGGAACGACAAATAAAGTAATAAGGACAATGTATTTACGTTAAATGGGTTGCTAAAGACCTGCCCAGATGATGGACAGCCGCCTTTGAGGTATTATAAGCCAAGATACTGTAGTTGTTGTCTTTAATGATGCTCTTCAACTCTCCTTCAACGATGCCTATTCAAATGCAAATCAACATGATACATTCATTTACATTAAGAGTTGAGGAGTGACTATGATATGTATCTTCCATCTTACGTGAAAAATATTCCGCATACCTCCCACACTCCCGATAATAATAACTCTCGCAGGATCCTTTGGACCTTGGCTTGCTTTCGTGAGAAGGGGCAGACATCTACGTACCCGAGACTGCCCAATTCATATTAGATCCTCTTAAAAAACTTATCCGATGTAACTTTCACTTATAATATTGGATAAACCCAACATTACTCGGATACTCACGCCATAGTTAAATAATAAACAGCATAGACATTCAACTTGTACACGCGATCCCAAGCGCTCTCGGGTATATTCTCCAGTGGAGCAGCCCAAGTTGCTCCAGAATTGTTTATTAAGATATGTAGTTTGTCTTCTCGAGAACTAATGTCTGCAGCTAACTGTTCGCATGCAGTCTTTGTGTTCAAGTTTGCTTGAATAGGAACGCAATTTCCTGGACCGAGAGCATTTAATTCTGATGCAACTGTTAACGTTAAGATTAAAAGAGGACTTGTAAATAAAATAGTGGTAGAAAAGACGGCAGTTGACGAAATGTCGAAGGTGAAAGTAATGGACCAACCTTTTTCTAAATTCCCTAGTTTCCGGGATGCGATATAAACTTTAGCACCATTACGCACAAGTACCTTTGCGATCATTTTTCCAATGCCAGTTCCTCCTCCGGTCACTAGGGCGACCTTGCCCTTGACTGAATAGAGATTCGATGCACTTAAGTCTGTCATGCTTTCCTAACGAAATGTTTCGATCAAGAAGTATTTATTCTGTAGCAGCAATTCTAGATCGGGAATGTCGCACGGTGAATGTTCTCATTGGGCTCGGGAATTCTACTATATATGGATTCAAGTCACATGAAATAATCATTTGCGAGAATGCCGTTCACGTTATTGCTCAGCTGCCAAAAAACGGCTACTTTTTTGTATATGAACTTCCGTCTTGCGTCATTTTAGATAGCGAATAGAAGGTATATCAAATATCATATTGGTACAAAGGTGACTTTATTGTAGCTTTTGAACGGCATTCTCCTATTAATTACGATTGGCTTTTTTTTTTTAAGATAGAACTTGTCAATTGTAACCATTGAAATTTGGCATAAACTGTCAACTTTTACTTTAAATAGCATATAGATAATGCAACAAGGCTAGCATTGATAGTCGGTTGGAGGCATCAAATAGAAAGTTCTGCAACAATTCATACACACACATCTACTTTGGTTTGTTATTATTAATAACATCTAAGGTGCACAATGCCTTCCAGGACAGGACATGCGACAAAAATTTGTATTTAATACCACGTGACAACCCATGCACATAAAAATGTCAATTTTAATCCACAAGCGATAAATTGCTTTTTTAAAAACACCAGCCTAGAAAACCAAGGCTAGGATACAATTCTATAGCCCGGTAAATGTAGTAAAGCACATAAATTTATTGGTCCACGAAAAATCGAGGGAAAATAAATATTTAATAAGTAATGGACTGGTCGATGCCGCAGCACCGCTTCAGCCTCTAGTTTTAAGTGAACCGTCTGCTTATCGGGGAAGATAATCAAGATTAGATTTGCAGGAAGACATCGGTCAAAAATGGAAAATAACATATGAATATCTCCCATTTGTGTCACCTGACCGCCAGATAACAATAACAATAAAACGGGGTAAAAACATGAAGGAATTTTGCCCCGTTTTATTGTCCAGGGCTGTAGATGATAACTCGGGCACTTTACAACGTTAATTCTCTCTTGGTCAGTGGGTATTTCTTGAGGGCTGAGCTCATTCTTATCACAAATTGGGATAGAGGTATCTTTAATCGACGCAAGGTGAACACGAATCATAATATTAATATGATGGCTGGTTCTCACACAATAACTAATTGAAAAGCATTATCTTGCCAACTTCCATTTTAACGAAGGAACGCTGCGGCTCATGTTTTATGACGTGTCCGTATAAACAGCGATTGTTATCTGCTAATCATCGAAATGCATATAGTCAGGCTTTTATGTTATATACTGTATAACCGTTGTAGGCTACTTCAAGCAATCGGCCTTTGAAAAAACCCTCTATAACATTCTAAATTAGGGTTGTGATCATGAACACAGACAAGTTTGGCTACTCATAAGCATTCTGTATATCTTCCCGGTTCTTGCTGCGTCGATTGGATCGTCCGCCCGGCCTCCTGATTGGTGATCGAATATTAAACCCCACTCTTTTTTGAACACACTGTCCGTTGCCCAAATGACCAAATAGGAGAAACTGCGGCTTTCAACATCTTTGCCCTTTTATTTGCATTATAATTACGACATCGAGTACAAAGCAAAAATTTTCTAGATTGTGTAATGACATGTTCTTACGTAGGATATATAGTCCGTATGACTAATAGTAACTCTCACAGAGTGACACGATTATGGTTACCGTATAGATACAACGGTTGATATTTCATTAGCTAAAATACCCGGGTCGATCGCCAAGATATTTGTGATAGTGTAAAGTTGAATAACTTATCGATATCACAACTTTTTTTTGTCATGTTACACGAATCCATCAATAAGAAAAAAAAATCCCGCTTGTACAAATCCCCACCTTATAAGAAGAAACTCCCGCAACCGCAGCGATAAAGAAAAAAAAAAAAACCATACAACCATTCTGTGTGGGTAAGCGCTCTAGAGATCACCTACCACGACCAAGTGGATTAAACACAAGTTTGTAAGTGTGACAGTGTTGTACCGAAATCGAGATCTTTCGTTCGGAGAGAGTTTTCTAGATTTCGTTTTGTCCGTCCTATCCATTTCAACACGTTTACACAACTACACAAAGGCACACACATTCTCACAATTCTGTCGTTTGTTTTAGACGGAGTGGAAATGGTTTACGACAATAAACGCCCGAGTGTTAGCCTCCCACCTGGTCTGATATTGTTCCCCGGAGAGACCCCCCAATTTATAGCGATAACGAGTGCGATTCAATTGTTCGAGGCTACAGGAGACGGTGCGTTCGTGGAATGTAATGGCAAGGGTGGCGAACGCTGTAGCAACACGGAAATTGTGAGCGAGGTAAATTCAATTTGGGGTGACGCTATTTGAAAGGCATAAGAAGCGCGTTTGGAAGGTGGTTTGGATGATAATTTAATGATTGATTCACAGGCAGCAAGTGTTAATATGGTATTGTTTGGCTTAATTTTAACTAATCTTCCTTTCTCTCCATTTTAATTTAATAGCCATGCGTTGTAATTACCAATTTTCGTACATGTTTCCAACCGCCAAGTAGTCCTCCAAGCTATCTTGTCCAATTCACACATCTCTCGATTTCTCAAATAGACACAACACCCTATCAACTCACAATTACCCTGAAATTCTCTCCATCAAAATATCTCTTTAAATTCTCTAAACCCAAAATATCAACCCCATCGACATACATTAGTGTCAAGCCAAAGAACAACTCTTCGCTATGTGAAGAATTTGCAGACATACTCAAAAAACATACCTTCTCATCTTCAATAGAAACCACCTTCCCATTTAAAATGGGAAGGCGAATTGTAGATGGGATCAACGAAAAAAGAAACGATAGAAACGAGAGTATGGAAAAAGGGAGGAAAAAAACGTTGGAGGATGAAATTATAGATCAGATATATGGCGAAGGTAGTAGTGATGAGTCGGATGATGAAGTAGAGACGAAAGGACTTGATAAAGATGTTTATATGAGAGTGAGAAAGTTGGGGTGGGCAAGAGGGTATAAGATTCAGAAGGAGTTTGAGAGAATGCAAATTAACAAAGATGTATGGTGAGTGGGATTAATGTTTGATTCTAAGCAGATGTTTATTCAGTAATGCGTCTCCTTATTGAACGCACGACGCGAACATGGCATCATTGAAGTACTACAAACACTTAATGACTCGAGCTTTTCTACTTCCACAAACATAGGTGCATATCAACAGTCAACGAAGATTTTACTCTTTCACCAACCTATCCGCAGGATTTTATTTTTCCAACCCTACTTCTAAAACAGACTGCTTCCTCGTCCGACACTGTGACAGCAATGCAAGGAACAAGTCTTCGGTCGACACCTTTATCTAATTCTATTGCCGTATCACCCTCATTCCGTTCCACCGTATTGCCCGAATCAACTTCTGCCTCCATCTCATCCAATCAAACTGAGACAGACTCGCTTTCATTTTTCAAAAGCCTTTGTCGGTTTCGTTCACGCGGTCGATTTCCTATATTATGTTGGAAGCAAAATCGTACAGTATTGATGCGCAGTGGACAGCCGATGGTAGGGTTTCTCGGAACAAGAGGGCTGGCGGATGAATTTTTAATACGTGAGGTAGTTAGGGCTGTTAACGATGAAGTATATGGGAAATTTGGTGGAGTTGGTGGACAGAAGATGAATAAAGATGCGGGAAAGAATAGCGTAAAGATATGTGTTCTTGATGCTAGAGGATATGCATCGGCTTTTGGTAATGGGTATTCTGGAGGCGGATATGAGAATATAGGTACGTTCGACCTTTGTTTCACGCACCACATAGACACGCGTCTATTCAATATACTCAGTATCATTCATCGCAATTGCAGAAAACTATCCGCCAAATACTACGCTTCACTTTTTGGGTCTCCCCAACATCCACTCGATATCGTCTTCCCACACGAACCTACTTCGTGCAATATCATCCAATGCCTCGGCTCCTAACTGGTTCTCTGTTATCGAATCCACTGGATGGCTAGGACACGTTGCGGATTTGTTAAAGGCTGCTGGAGGTAGACATGGTGTTGTGGGTCGAATTGTAGATGACGGAGCTAGCGTTTTAGTGGTGAGCGTTTTTGGAATGATTAATGGATGGACGTATTATTGTTTAAATTTTTTAAATAACGTCGGTTCTTATTTCTATAGCATTGCACTGATGGATGGGACAGGTAATATTACATAACCATCGTGTCATACAATGTGTATTCAAAGAACGCGAACAAGTAACTCACTTTTACTTCTTCTATCAAAGAACAACACAGTTAGTTTCGTTAGCACAGATAATGCTTGACCCATATTTTCGTACAATTAAGGTATTTATTTTTTTTTGCATCGCTCAAACAGATGACAACTCTGTTGGAAAGCGGAGAGCACACTACATTCCACATATTGTCCTCATAAAGTTTAATTTGTTTATCTTAGGGCTTCCAAGTATTGATAGAAAAGGAATGGCTAGCCTTTGGTCATCCGTTTCGCTCCAGAGGTGGCTTACCGTTGTCTCCCCAATGTTCTTCAATTTTTCCTACAATTTCATCTCCTCCCCCTAATCGCCAGCTCCATCAGCCGCCGTCAGTTCCATCTCCTGTGTTTCTACTCTTCTTAACCTGCGTACATCATCTCATTCAGCAAAACCCAGACAAATTCGAGTATAATGATTTTCTGTTGCTTTGCTTAGCAAGGGCAGCTGGGGGAAACTCGCCGTATGGTGACTTCTTGTGTAACTCAGAACGCGAAAGAACATGTGTCGGACTAAGAGAAAACACTATAAGCATTTGGGAATTTGTCAGAGTACGGAAGAAGTTTTTCATTAACACCGCGTACAGAAGACCTCAATACAATCAGAACAACATAACGCAGGATACTAGGCAGTGCATTATAGAACTGTCAACTAACGCAAGATCGATTGGGCTCTGGGAAGAATATTACTTCCCCAAGGATGATATTTCTATATCTCTCCTCTGCACTCCTCTTGATACAGAGTTTGTTTCTCCACATGTAACTCGAGCTTTCCCTCGCCTGGGCTATGTGGGTAACATGCCGGGACTTACGTCTGAATATTATCTTGCCAACCTGTTTATCAAAAGACGTAGGCGAAGGTTGATCGCTCTTGTTTGGCGCACATGGAGAGGGGCGTGTAGAAATGAGCAAACTGGCGGGAGTAAAAAATTCAAGGGAGTGAAAAGAACGATCGGAGACGACAAGGAGTGTATAATCAATAACGTAGAAAAATTAACTATTGATGGCAATAATATTACTGGAGAAAGAAGTGGGAAGAGGCGATCAGCCGACGGGAAGCAAAATGATACTTGGGTGAGGAATGGAGCAATGATAGGAGACATTATGGTCGAAGAAGATAACTGGGAAGTGGATATTATTGATAATGAGTCTTGGCAAGAAAGTAGTAATAGTAGTGGTGGTACAAGTAGTGAGAGTTTTGACGGATATAAAAGTAATAGCACTACCAGTGTGAATAGTAACGGAGAAGATGAAACTGAAAACGAGGAAACAAAGATCAATGAAGGTTCAGGACAAGCCTCAGGAGAACAGGTGCCTCGAATGGTAATCGTTGTAAAGAATACTCACGAGCATGAAGGTTCTAAAGGGATAAAATCAAGATTGGCACCTCAACCAGTATCATCGAGGACATCCAAATCATTTCCAAGATCATCTGCCAAACCGTCGTTAAAATCGCCAAAAACGCTATCAAAACCGTCCATAGCATTTCCTTATGTACCGCACTCCTCATCCTCTTCAAACTCATGCCCTAGATCTTTGGCAAGTAGTAGTTATGATTGGGTCGATGTGAAGAATGAAGAAGATGAGGCAAAAACATTATGCGAGTTATTACATGAAGCACAGAGAGACGAAGTTTTTCGCGTGAAGAGAAGGAAGAGTACGGGGAAAAACTCTCATATGAGAAACTGTATGGGTAGTCGGAACGGGACTGCCAACGAGAAGGCCATAGCATATGCCATCCGCAACGCCACTAACGAGTTGATTACGGACAAGAATATATCATCACATCCAGCAGATACAGCATCGGATGAAACTATAACTAGTCCTACAGTTTCATCCTTTTCCCCGTTCCTGTCATCGTCATCGTGCTCCTCTTCGCCGTCGTCGTCTCCTCACCAAAAAATTCACTTGAATACTTCGAATCCACATTGTTCTCATCCCACCACTCCAGCAGACATTCCAGGTGCACTTCCGTCTCGGACTTTCGTGGACAATTATTTCTCTTCTGATCTTGCCTCTTCGTTATGTTTAGAGACGAGTGCTCCTGATTCGGGAGAATTTGTATTTGTGTAGGGAGCACTGTTATTATTTGAGAAAATGATGGGTTGCATGATAGTAGTCTCCCTTATTAGGTGTGTAATGTAGTTTAGAAGACGTATTTCCGCTTTAATAATGTATAATAACATATTGGGGATTTTCGGTAGACCTTATCAAATGATTGTAACATGGTCGCAAGCGTTCAACAAATGTTTTCATGCTAATGTGATGAGGTGAGAAATTTGAGCCGGTATTTTTGGGGACACCTGATCGAACTGACTTGATTAGTTTAAGGCGTATTTAGGTTTATTCATTATAAAATATATTGTGGAAAAAATTAAAATTGGGACTACGAAAGTAGGTGCGGGAAGTCGATGATGAATAATTCGAAAATTTCGAATAGATTCATAACAAAAAGGTAATAAAATGATAACCAATAGAAATAATTTATACTCAAGCACGTTCTTAATAACATGCAAGATTATGATTGTTTATCCCGTGTATATTGCATCATCATTTCTGTATTCCAGCACGAATGAGTAAAGGCGAGCCATGGTGTGGGCCAGACGGGTTTGAATTGTCAAAGGCGAAATACGGTCTAGACAGCGTTCAATCGGGCAGCTCACGGTAATGGCGGTTTTTATATATACAGTATATTAATATGTTGTATGTAAATCCGTCACTATGTAAACGACGGGATTTACATAATACGTACGTGTAAATGCGGTTTTTAGGGACCCCAAACGGTATTCACAAGTGACGGGATTTACATAATATGTATACGTACGTATAAATGCGGTTTTAGGGACCCCAAACGGGATTTACATAGTGACGGGATTTACATACGACATACTGTATATATATTCCTCGTTATTTTTTGTTTGTTTTTATTGGTTTATATTGCATTTATATTCGGTATGAAGAAGAGGGAGTATGCATACGATGGGGTAGAGCTTGATGCTATAAAGAAAAAGTGTTATTATAAATGGACAGCCTTCATTAATGTCGGGTAATCAGTGGTGTCTGTCCACTATCCTCCATATGAAAGAGTATCGGATAAGTATTTGATTCGGTTGGCAGTCTAAGTACAAGTCTGACATTATTAATTTATTAACAATAACATAGTAACTGTAATAGGTTTAGTCAAGCATACCATTTTCTACGAATAAAACCGAACTTACACGTTGTACTTGCAACCAACATAATTTTGTCTTCTGGTAACGGAAATATTAATAAAATATCTTGTCCAACTGTCCACAATCGATCAGTTTTACGTCAGATAGAAGTGTTTCTATCTTTAGACTTTCTTCAAGAGTTTTTACTTGTTCGTTTGAATACAAACGAACCCAATAAAAAGATATGTTTATATCCTAAATTAAATTTTCGAACATTAGACTCGCCAACAGATTGTAAATAACCAATGACGTAAGATGAATATTACCATAAAGCCATTCGTAGTACATTCTATTGTGATATCATGCTCTGACAATATGTCAATTTCACATGGAAAGATATATTCAACGGGATTGTATTTAGTTGTTATATCCGTTTCAACATTGTACTGGGTCTCCTCGGTTGATCCTTTTACCTGTATTAAATAATAAATTATTTCAAGCAAGATCAGATGGTGTATTATTGCAGCAATACAATGCTATAGATTTCAACATTCAAATTGTATAAACATATGAGTGATAAGGAGTGTCACTAGCACAAGTAGCGCGTATGTTACCTTTACTGAAATCAATAGTTTAACCGGTGTTCCCATTCCATAAACTTTTTCCAACAAAATGCTGAGCCTGTATTGATTTGGAGGTACTCGGAATATTGGTACTGTCAACTGTTGATATGAAATATATTAATTACTTTTTAAAACGACAAACAATTGTATTCATTATCAATAATCTTACGCTGTTATTTCCATATATTACAAGAGGGTCTCCACTGTTAAATGACAAAAATTAATAATAAATCAATTGTTTGAACAAATTACTATTAAATATTACATACAAAGCTGATTCATGGCAATTATCAGTATTTTGAATATGGCTTTCAAAAGCAAAATGCGCTATTAAATGACCTGATAAAAATAAAAACAAGTTAGTATGTATTGAGTATGAAATTGCAACTTTTAAATGGTGACTTACTTTTATGTATATAATATACTTTTTCAAAAAATGCTTCTGTTTCTTTATGATGGGTGGCATTACAGAACTCACTATACCAATTTTTAGCAACATCAAGCCATTGAATATAACAGTCTGTTCCAAAATGCCGACTTAATGCTTGCCATTGTTCAACATTATTCAACTCTTGCATTGCTTCAGTAGGATCACTGTCTACAAGAATTTTAAACCATCCAACATCAAAATGGTCAAGTCCAGTCACAAAGTCATTAATTATATCAAAAGCCTTTTGCTTTCTTTTGAAAATATGCTTGAGATCTTCTGCAGCTAATTTCTTCTTATTGAGGTTTATATGCACTTCCAAACTCAAAATCCAGGCATTTTCATTAATACTATCCACTTCAATTGCTGCCTCAATATCAAACAAAGCTTCTTTAAACTTTTTCATCTTCAATTTCATAGAAGCTTGGCCACATAATGCCCTATAGTTATGGGGATCATTTTGTAATATCTTTGTGTAAAATGTTAAAGCATTCTCAAAATCAAGGCTATCATAAGCTTGTTCCGCCTTTGCAAACAATTTTTTAACCTTTGGTGGTCCCCTCAAGGATTTCCAGATTGAATTCCATCTAAAATCTTGGTTATAGCCTCTTGTTAATTTTTTCTTTTTTGGTTTTTTAAGATTTTCATATTCACCAATTGTCTCTGTATCTGATGCATTAATAATATCACCACCATCAATACTTTGATCCTCTTTGTCCATAATGTATTGTTGAACATTCTTGTGTATAGTTTGCTGTGGTAAATAGTACACTCTATCCTTATTAATTTCCTTTCTACAATAAGGACATTTCGGTTTCTGTAGTGCTGAAAGGGCCTTGGAGCTGATGAAATGTTGACAGTTGAGTAGATATAAATCATTAACTGTTTCATAAGTAATCTTGCAAGTCAAATCTTCTGCAATATAGTCTATTGGTGATTTTATCCCTTTGTCATCACTTCCTATTTCATTTCCTTTTCCCTTTGGATTAATCACCTCCATGGTATCATACTTTAGCATCTTCAATTCAACATTTATTTTGTCCTTTAGATAATAATAAATCCCCACTAGTTTTGGTATCTGGTCCTCCTTGCAAGCAGCAATATCATCAGGTGTTGTAACAAATAATTCACTATTCCTGGTTTCAAGACACAATAAAACTTCAATTGCTTTAAATTGAATAAACTCCTTGGTTGTATTTTCAAGTGAATCTAATGTCATGTAATAACAAATGGCCTGAGCAGTTATAGAATAGGTTTTTTGAACGAGTTCTTGGACAATGTCCAAAATTCCATACCAAAGTATATCACTAGTGCTTGAGTTTCTAGAATTGCTAGAGTAGCATAAACCAACATGATACCAAAGATATTCAAGAAGTAATTTTTCTTTAAAGTCCATTGAAATGCCCGACTCTCTTTGTTTGCACCAGCTGTCAAGACTGTTTTGTAAAATAATAAGTCTTCGCCAAGTTGTATACCAAGGTTTGCCTGATGGCTCAATATAACATGCTTCTGAAAGATATGTCCATGATCTTTCTAAATCAAAAACACCAAGAGGAAGTTCAATTCCTGTTGTTAATTTAACTCCAAGTTTGGCCAATCCAGGAACGGAAACAAGTAAACCCTTTAGGGCTGAGATAACTCGGCTTTCATTTGTTTGAAATTTATTTTTCTCATCGCAAAGACTGTTTAATGTATTTTTAATAATTTTGAGAAGGAAATTGTTGTTATAGTTGTACTTGAATCCTTGACCATTACTATCATTCTCATTAAATTCTGCACAATTACGTTTCCAAATTTTCTTTATGCCTTCTTCATCAAGCTGGGTAATCTTCTTATTCATCTTTTTATACATAGCAATAGCTTTTTTAATCTCATTAATAAACTGATGGGTAAAATGATAGTGGCGCTGAACCATTCGCTCCAAAATGGACAAAATGATACGCAGTTTCCATTCTAATTCAATGGTTGATTCTTCTGTATAAACCCTAATGGTCTCTTTAGGATATAGGTTCGTTAATGCGGTTATCAGATCTGTCTTGGAAATAGAGTCACCACTGCGTTCAAGAACATATTTGAGTGCGTAAAGATTTTCTGGATGTTGTGTGTTCTCTACAAGTTTTTCTATTTGCTTATTTGCTGAAATGTACCCTTGCTGTATCAGGCTGTGTATAATTCTAGGAAAGACGATCCAATTTGACGTACGTGGCGTAAAGAGGGTCTTCGTCTCATTAGTGCTAATTCCAAAATTGGGGCTTGCCAGTATAGCGGTGTCTGTAGTAAGGCTGGAACTCATTGCGGTATCCGAGCTTTCTCCCATGTAAATAGAATTATGGCAATGACGATCAGAAGAGATAGATACTCTTATATGTGGCGACAATCTGTGATACAACGCTGGACAAGAAATGCAATTGATTTTTTTTCAAGTCCAATAGCATTTGGATGATTTTCCATCTGCAGGAATTAAATAAACGATCCATACTAATAACTTATTATGTATTTGTGCTATAAATCAAGTCTTCGGAGTCGGACTAAGACAATCCTTTCTGTTCCAAAATTAACTGCTAAGCCAATTGTTTGTCGTAATTGTAATGGCGTAGCATATACTCGAAAATCAGCAGTATAGATATGTTGTACATTACATCTAGTCCGATAACGTATAACATCACTCTATCAATTTAATACCTGTTTCCCTCTAAGTTTGGCCATCAATGTAATTAGTGAACTGTGGGTTATCATCCCGAAATAACCACACGCCTAATTGATGTAATTGGGCGGATATGGGCTCTAATGTACATCTTTTCTTTGACTATACGAGTCGATGCACTTTGTACGGTTGTGCAGCAATGCAATTATTGTCTTTCTACATCATACTTTAAGTAACCTGTTGTCTCGACACGCGGTTTTAAGTATTCAAACAATTGTCGTTTCCCGATCACAGATTATAGTAGTTTATTACAATACTTAAATATGCGGAAAACACGAAAATAACACACGTACAAAGGCTAGTACTGGTTTAGTCTGTCGTTGACCACCCCCGATATAACAATGACTCCGATATCGTTACGTTGTCACTGACTTTTATAATCAATCATTCCCCACATACTGTATACTCTTTTTTTTTTATTTGGAGAAAAAAAAATACACGCGGACTTGTTGACACCAAATTTCATATAATATTTTATAAATCGGAATACGTAGATATCATTTGTCACAAAAACCTTCCAAGGAAGTTGCGAATACCATTGAGCTTTTCTCATCTTAGGTATATCACGTGTCATGTAATTTTTTCCATTTCATCAACCGTCCGTTCAGGATGTTTAGATAATGACTACATGTTGTAATACAATTCATTGATCCCTGAAATTCTTGGTAATACAAATGATATCTCGTGATTTCACGACTTTTGATCACAGAAATTTTTGTTGCTCAACTCAGTTTCCTTGTCCGGACAAATAACAGGTTGGACACTACTATCTTCATCGTTAAATACGTAACACTGTTTGCACTTTTCGCAAAGATCAATTCGAAATGCTTATTATATATTTGGGTTTTTTTATGACAAGAAGAAATAAATATTTTCTACCATAATGTCCGAGAAAGACATAGGTAAATCAGCTTTAGATTCGTCTGGAGGAATGATTAAGAGATCTATCATATATTATGATCCGATCTAACTTGAAACACGGTTTTGTATGTCTAATTAACCATGTGAATGTATTCTACTCTTTATTTAATTATCGTACAATTAGAGTTACTCGATAATGTTGAGCTACGGTTTGCACTGGCCGAAACTGATCAACAGCTTGAAAAGAACCTGGATATTTTTCTTGGCCCCGTCCTATTAAAATTAGAAAGCCAAAACGAGTCAGTACGGGAGAAGGTCTGGTGATCGATATCAAAAGTATTATATTTTCCAACGGCTATAGATGACTTATGTCTTATTTGGTGTCTGCAGGTTATGAGCATCTTAATCCATCTTAATAAGAGAATTCGCCCAAAACAGAGCATCAAGCTTCCGCTAGAATCATTAATGACTTTATTCTGTACCAACGATGTTACCTCCTCACCGTTTGTTAAGAATCTTGCACTTGTATACATAGACATGGCTTTCCAGAGGTTGACTGAAGAGGTAAATTGTGTAATAGACAAACCAGGGAAAGCGAGTCAATTGTTTGTTAATCTAATAAGAATGTGGGGATGTTTGAACTGATGATTTACTAATGTAATTGACATCGACTTAGGAAATGATTAGTAATTTGCCAAGGTTGATTGCTGGAATTGCTAACAGGACACCCCAGCAGAAACAAACTCTGATTCACATAATGTTACCTGTTAGTATATTTAATATGCTGTTAGTACACAGTAGTGGCAAAGCTAATTTCTTTTTGCGTTCGCTCAGGTGCTACCAAAATTAAAACGGCAACATCTTGAATCAACTAACCCATACGGATTTAAAGAACGTCCAGCCGATGCCAAATTCCTTCTCGATAAATTTCTTGACATAATATTATACAGCCCATCTTCACAATCAAGGACGCAGTATGTGTTTTAAATGTTTGCAACATGCTTACCTGAACTGATATTCATATGAATTGACAAACTCAAGACAAGATCAGGCGAATGATGTGCCGGAGAGTACAACTGTTCCACCAGGTTTAAGTCAACTAGCGGTGAAATTTGTCACAAATGATGGGAAAGCAGTTTGGGCTTCAGAAATCGCGACCATCAAACCTATTAAAGTAAGCTGTTTACAATAACAAGACGATTTAAGAAATTATATTTTGTGTATCTGAGCGAATTTTATTGCTATTCCTAGCTTGGCATTCTGCAATTTGTTACTTCTCAAAATATCATGCCGGATTCGTTGGGCGAGACTATTCTTCTTGTCAAATTTTTGCTCTTTTTATCAGCAAGTTGCGATCTGGCTCATGAAATAGTTGGTGCCGGAGAGAACGGACTAAAGAAGATCAACAAGCCTGATTTAGAGAGTAAAATGGTAACAATATTTTTGTTATTATTCAGTTGTAAGAACACAAGATTCGTTCAATTTATAATTTAATTTCTATTTTAAGGTCGTCGATCAGCTGTATTTTTTTTATCAAGGCAGTAATAAGCCATCTAATGCCGCGTTAGGTATGAGACTTGATTTCATTAGAATGATATCTATGTATTTATAGGGTAAATTATTTCTATTGATCAACTTTGAATATTGTTAACAGTTCAAGCACAGAAAGAGACACTACGCGAGGCAGCATCAGCGTCTCTAAAGTACAAAATAATGGGCTATCTCTGCAAGTCTCGATTAGCAACTAGCACTTTTCCTGCAATGTTGGCAGTATCGTTTGATTGTTTGTTTGGTTAGTGGAATGTTTGGCTGTGGTGGAGCAGGCTGTATTATTACGGCAGGTTGTTACAGACAAGCTCAAATTAGTTATCATTGTCTTGACTTATTGCTCTCTAAATTCATGAATGCGTTCCATAGGGCCTGCAACAAATGCAAAATTACAAAATCAGGGAATGGCCTTTGTTCAATGGGTTGCTCGGATGGTTTGTCATTCCTCTTTTACTTTATTCTGCGTTCTGCTATAACTTGATGAGTAGTCTCAAATCTGTTCTTGTGCAGGCGGACATCTCTCGACTAAAACCCGTTGCGCCTGTGCTGTTATCCGGATTATTGAAATGTATCAAGCTGGCCGACAATGGTAATATCAAATCGTCTAACTTTCAATATGAATAGTCTGTTAAATTATTATCTTCTTGTAGATAAAGATTCTCTAAAAGGTTTTGCATACATCGCTGTGAGTCTATTGGCTAAGAGAGGTATAAAGGGATATCGCATAAATAATTATTTTGTTGTAAATGATTTACGGACTCAATGATTTACGGATTCAACTTGTCTTTTTATCATTAAAGTACCCGAACTAGTGCGTAAAGATCTTTCCATACTTGCGTCATTCTTTGCTGCGATGTCGACCGAACCTCCAAGTGTCCGAGCCTCTATTCAAGAAGCTCTCTCAACCATGGTTGATGCCTTTAAAGATTCAGATAAATGGGCTAGCGAAAAGGATATTCGGACTATTGAAACAATAATTGAGGAAAACATTAACAAGGTTTACTTATTTCTTAATATATAATTGCATACTACTATCTAGTAACATGCAGTAACTAAACGCAATAATTTAATACAATTTAGATTGGACACCAGTCTCGTTACTGCGCAGTCAAATACGCGGTTGTTCTTTTTCCCTTTTCACATGTCCTTTCTCGTTATATATGCCTTCTAACGTCTACAGACGACAAGCTTGAAGTGCGCGAGATGGCAGCCAGCGGGCTTGCGTTTCCAGATCTGCATTCACCGAAGCTTTATCCAAATGACACCAACGAGGAATTACAGCTTCCTTCTTTTAATGAGCTTGTGAGCTTTATTGATGCAAAGGCGGACGAAAGACGAGAACAACATTTGAACATAATACAAACAAGCTCTACAGGAAAAAGATACGTCATGACATACGATAGCGAAGTCTACATGAACATGTTACGTTTCTTGAGACGTGTCCTGATTTTGACTGCAGATCCAACCGCTATCCTTGGCCAATTGGGAGATGAATTTAATGGAGAGGACAAGATAACAGATTCGAGAATAAGGACGTCGGTGAAAGAGTGGATTCGGAAGCAATGGATGGAACAACAAACAGATGATGACGATATTATGAACGTAGATGAGACGCCGCAACAAAGCGGCTTGAGACTATATTTACGGTTAATTGAGAAAGGACTAGATAGCGAAGGAACGATTGGTAGGTTATACACAGTTGCATGCATTATCATATTTCGTATTTAACGGTAGCTTTAATTAATCAATCAGTGTTCTCCTAGATACGCTATTACAAACAACCGCATCGGCCTGCTTATTGGAACTAATATCTTTAGGTCCTTCTTCACTGTCGAGAACCTACGAGAACAAATTAACTTGGTTGACTGTATGTATACGTTCACTTTACTGATTTGAACACTTCTTGATACTAACAATTACTAATAATAACACAGACGTTCTTGAGGGTTGTCAAACTAGAGGTTCGAGCTAATATGGCTCATATATTAGGCATCGTAAGCACTAGTGAGCTGGACTGCCATGAATCCAGATGTACTTCCTTGAAACAATTAATATTAGAGCTTATTACCATAGCAAAGGATTTTTCACGTGAGGTATGGATTTCTTTGCTTTCATAATGTTTTTATACCACTGCTAACCGTAGAACCGATCAAATAGGTCTCAACAGAACGTCATCACGGAAGCATTCTCGCTCTCGGATATATAGTTGGACGTATTATTTATAGATATCCTCTCGATTACAAGACTTTGATTCCCAACAGCCTTCTATCCGACGCCGTCAACCTAATTGCTAAAGACTTGCAATCTCAAAAGACGTCTATTGTAGCTGGTGCATGTTTATCGTTAAGCGAGGCAGGGAGGTACGGTCCACTTCCAATTGGAGAGCCACAAATGATAACTGAAGATGCCAAAGATGTAAAAGGTAAAGGAATATCCAAGAAAACCGACGACTATGAATTTGATGACATACTCGAAAGTTTAACCAATATTGTTAAGAAAAATAAGGACATAAAGGTATGTCGACATTAGCATGTATTATTGGTTGTAATTCTTTCTAATATATATGTCTATTCCGTCAAGCTTCGCGAGACGGCAATTATTGCTCTGGGTCACATTACCCTTGGATATAATAGCAAACCCGATAAAGTCCTTTCTTTATTCTATGACTTGGCCTTATCTATTACTAAAGAGGTCGAAATACATTTTACCATTGGGGAAACTATCGCAAGTATTGTGGCCGGTTGGCAGAGTCAAGCGATGGAAATTTACTTGGATGTTGCAGATGCGAAAATACCCGAAGTTACTATAGACCAGAACGTGATAGAGAGCTTTTTCAGTAAGATTTTCGATGAATTGTTACCATCAGGAAAAGCAGCTGTTAGGAAAGCGATTTGCATTTGGATACTTTGTTTGGTCAAGTTCTGTTCCAAACATGATGCTGTCAAGGTAGGACGTGATACAATAACAAAATGTGCAACATTTAAATAGAAACTAAATTTGATTCTATTAGACAAAACTCCCACGAATACATTCGATATTCTCTGCACTTTTGGCTGATCGAGATGGTAACTATATGGGTCGAATTCGATCTGTTGTCGTAATTGTTTTTGAACTTGAAACTAAAATGAATGTGTTCGTGGACATAGAGTTCACGCAGGAGGTCGCATCTAAAGGCATTGGGTTGGTGTATGAACTCGGTGATCAAGCTATGAGAGATGAACTAGTCGTGTCTCTTGTTGGAATGATAAGTTCTGGAAACAAGCCCAAGGAAACGATTGATCGTGACACGCTGCTATTCGACAACAATACTCTAGGGCAGGCACCCGATGGCTCTGTGATTACCACATATCAATCAATCCTTTCATTAGCTTCCGACATGAATCAACCAGAGTTGGTCTATAAATTCATGCAACTTGCAAGCCATAATGCGGTCTGGCAGACAAGAAGAGGTGCAGCATTTGGATTTTCGACAATCATTGCGCAAGCAGAGAGAGAATTGCAACCATATTTGAAAGATCTTGTACCGAGATTATATCGATTCCAGTTCGATCCCAACCCAAAGGTCAACGAGGCCATGACGAGTATCTGGAGGGCATTAGTGAAAGAACCAAAGAAAGCTGTCGAGGAGTATTTCGATATTATTATAAAAGATCTGTTACGAGGGCTTGGTGATAGGATATGGAGAACAAGAGAGTCAAGGTAGGGTAATGACATGACTAGCACTGTTATGAATGCCAAAAAGCTTTTGCTAATTCATAAAATTGGATGCAGTGCCAACGCGCTTGCCGATCTTGTGCAAGGTCGTCAGATTCAACAACTTGAACCATATCTACAGGATTTGTGGACCATGTGTTTCAGAGCATTAGATGATATCAAAGAAAGCGTACGGAAAGCAGCATTTAAAACTTGCAGAGTACTTACCAATGCGACTGTCAAATACTGTGACCCTAAGCAAGTGACAGTTGCTGATGGCGAGAAAGTTATGAAAATTGTAATGCCCTTTTTTCTGGACAAGGGATTGGTCTCTGAGGCTGAAGATGTCCGTAAGCACTCTCTTAATACGATATTAAAGATATGTGAGGGGGCCGGTGTTCTACTCAAGAATCATATAACAAATATTGTTGGGACCTTGCTGGACGCATTATCTGGAATGGAACCGCAGCTGATGAGTAAGTAAGAACGTCAATGAAAAATTGTAATGTTCTCATTCAGTGCTTGACAGACAATTCCCGTATTTATAGATTATCTGAGTTTCCACATTGACAAGTATGACGTATCGCGTGAGCAGGTTGGCAAAGGTTGATGTATTATACCAAGTTACACCATGATACTCACTGCAGTTCATTATTTTGTTTGCCATTAGCTTGAAAATTCACGATTGTCCGCTACTAAAATGTCGCCAATGATGAAAGGGATTGAATTTTGCGTGGATTACACTGATGACACTGTCATGGAATCCTTGGTTCCTAGACTTCTTCAACTTGTGCGAAAAGGTGTTGGGCTTCCTACAAAGGTTTGTTCTCCTTATTGACGACCCGTAACCTATGAAATTATGTTTGTTTCTGATAATTGTGTATTCCAAATAGGCTGGATGTGCACGGCTTTTGGTAACTCTTTGCATTAAAAGACCGCAAGAGTTTCGCCCGTATGCTGATGGCACGATGAAAGTGTTGAGCGGCGCAATCGTTGACAAGTCACCGGCTGTTCGCAAGTCTTACGCCGTAGCTGCTGGTTATGTGGCACATTTGTCTTCAGACAGTACCTTGATCAAATTTATTGATCATCTCAAAAAGTTATATTGTGAGAGTGACAGCGAGCCACGTTCGATCTCGGGTATTACGGTCCTTGAAATGTCGAGGCACGCGTCAGATGAATTAAAGAGGATCTATGTGGAGATCCTGCCTTTGGCATATTTTGGTATGAGCGACGAAGATAAGGGAATTAGCAAAGTCTGGACTGAAGTATGGGAAGAAAACACTGCCGGTAAGGAATATATTGTATGGCAACTGCAATAATTTACTATCAGTTTCATAATCAATAAATTGCACAGGTTCAACGGCGGCAATTAAGCTGTATCTCAAAGAAATGGTTGAATTTCTGATACCGCTACTCGGATCACCCTCGTGGGTTTTCAAGAAGCAAGCCGGAATGACAATTGGAAATATTGCAAAGACGTTAGGTTAGTTAGACATGATTAAATGCACTGATTTAACAAAAGTCATTGAATTCTAAGAATCTATATATTTTGCAGAAAACGGCTTACGGCCTTATATGGACCAGCTTTTGCCTTTGCTTACAAATGGGTTGTCAGGGAGAACGTGGGCGGGAAAAGAAGCACTCGTTGAAGCCCTGGCAATGTTGTCAATATCTTGTAAACCATATTTTGATAATGAAGGAGGAGCACAAGAGCTAGAGGCCATCGGAAAGGTAGATTAATGTAAAAGCAAAGTTTGCCTTTTTATGCAGGTCATGCTAATGCTTGGATATCCCTATATTTGCAGATTCTTATACGCGAGTCAAAGAAAAACGATCGTCAGTATAAACGAAAAGCTATTGAAAATCTCGGGAAGTTTGGCTCGGCTTTTAGTGACAAGATTGACTTGTACTCTGAAGCCAAAGATTTCCTAATCGCAATTGCAAAGTCTGAGCAGAATCCCGATGAAATGGCTGAGGATAATGCAAACGATCGTCCTTTATTTTTCCTAGTCAAGGCAAGTGCTATCAAGACGTTAGGCCTAGTCTGGCCAAAACAGAAACTTATCCAAGGTATGTCTGAACGTGTTGCTTGCTCTTACCACCTAGTGTTGATGTACTCACTTGTTTGCCAATCTCATTATTCGGTTAGTAAAACATTCAAAAGAGCTTGCTACGGTCCTCGCTGACTCTTTACTGCCAGAAAAGAATGTCTGGAACGTTCGCCTGTGCATTCTGGAGGCAGTCGAACAGTTTCTGGACAAGCTAAAATTTGCAAGCACAGGTGATGGAATCGATGACATGTCATTTACGTGGAATGACATCATGGATGAGGAAATAACATTGAAAATGCTTGGTGGTCTTCGAGAAGGTCTCAAAGATACAAGATATGTTGCTATACGTAGTGCAAGCTATAACACATTGAAGAAGTTTATTGAGAAAATGCAAGGTTTGTTGTAACAAGGCAGATGTTTCTAAAGTTATCATCTTCCTCGACCGCCTAACTTGTAATTTGTATATTCAGAAACAAACATTCTAATAAGCAATCCGAATGTGAAAGCCAACATTCTCGAGACACTTTCTCTGGCCTCGCAAGATTCTCTCCCAACAATCGCAGACCCTGCCAGGGAATTACGCAATTCTTTGCAGCAGCGTTAATGAGGTGGAACGATAATAACAAGTATCAGAACATCCAATACAACCTATTTATTCATGTTATTAATTTTGAATTAATTCTTTCTATATGAATACACATACACTATATAAATCCGTATAATTAGAAAGAATAAGTGTTTGGGAAGTCTAAAATTTCTTAATTCAAACTAATGAATAGAAACAGGAACACGAAACGATACTTTAAGATATAATAAAACATCCTTGAATTTACGAGTAAATTAAATATTCTCAAGTGATTACAAGTTAATCACTTGATATTCTTTAGTATTTGTGTGCTATGCGAAATCCTGCCCTCAACATTACCAGCTTGACTTGATATCCTATCCAAGGTACCAGTTTGTCGCTGCACTTCTTGACCAGATGCAATAGCCTTGTATAAGAACAGTCCAAAGTTAGTTGAATCATTTACAACAAGACGCCAATGAACACATTACCCTAATCGAACTTTGCTTACCATAGCTTGCAATCTCGTCAGGCCACTTGATATTTGATCTAAATTCGAATCCAATCTATTCTCGATCTGTTCATCTTCTTCATCGCCTTCGAATTGGAATCTGGATCGATCCGAATTTCTTCCAGGTTGATATTTGGTGTTCTTTGTGGCTGTTTGCATAGCCTCATGAACCCTTTGTTGGGATTCCCAATTACCCTGCTGTCTTTGTTCCTTATTGGCATGTTGCTGCGACTGAAGAGCAGCCACCTTTTTCATTTCAGCTTTTTCACGGTTTTTGGTGAACGGAAGGCCTATGTCAAATCCAAACATTGAGCCATTGACCTAATTATGCAGAATGTACGAATTATCAGAATATGATCTAAAAGTAATGCCGGCCGGCTATAAACGATGATTTATTATATTAAGAAAATCGTACCTTTTTTAACTTGGACGCTTTCGCTTGAGCTACCTCGGCTTGAGCAGCTGCCAGTTCAAGCTGTTTTTCAGTGTAGTTGATACGCTCTATTATTCACAGAAGGAACTGTCAGTTTCGCCAGTTAAAATAGATGTCAACAGCTGCCCATCGCTTACCATCTGTTTCAAAATACTAACGTGTTTGTTCTCCAAGCTTATTCAGCGTGGTTTGAGCAGACTGTTCCGCTCTCTGGATTGCCTGTAAAGAGTTTTGAGTAGATTGCAGTGATTCTAATTTCGTCTGTCGAATCTGGGTCTTTATCTCGTCAACTTCCTCTTCCTCGGTACGCTGCTGGCCATACTGCTGGCCATACTGCTGACCATACTGCTGACCATACTGCTGCTGGCCATACGGAGAGTATCCACCTGCTGGAGGATAGCCTCCATAAGAAGGATTCTGTCCATATCCTGGAGCACCTCCGTATTGAGGGGGGGGTTGATATTGAGTTGGTGGCGGATAGTTTGGTTGAGGTCCACCAAAGAGTTCGTTGCGAGCAGCGTTGGGATCTTGCGAAGGCTTTTGACGGTAACGACGGTAATCGTCCATAGTTGAATATCAATGATAATTAAAATGGGATATTAATATACTGTTTCAGGGCTCAAACCTGTGTGGTGCGCCACAGACAATGAAAGGTTATAATCAACATCTCACTGTATGTATGCCACATTCTATAAATATCAATTCTGTGGTGGAATGCATGTATTATACACAGTATATTAGATTAAGGACCTGGCTTGGCTCCAGTAAAATATAATAAACCCCTTTTATTTTTGAATTTAAATTAGCTACTCTGACGAAGATGAAATCGCGTAACATAGATACCGCTTTAAAGCGATAAACACGATCTGCTTCCATTAAAATCCAGATCACATTACAATTGGGAATGGGCTCGCGTTTACTATTACGGCAGATTTGTTGTTCGAATAAGGTTAGATTATTACATTTGTATTAGTATCATTGCGACAGATTACATTGCATTGTCATTTGTTTGGTAACAAAACATCACGATAAGTTTGCAACTGTGTCGGAACAAAGAAATCATCTCATGTTTTATACTAAGAATATTTCAAACAATTAAGTTTTGTAGAAACTGATCTTTCGCACAGCCTACAAATCATAGAATATGATACAATTAGTTGAGCTTGTAATGCCACTGTGGTTAGGCTAAAATATTCTACAATATAACGATAGGAACTCCGTTATAATACACACCGTTTATTCTTTGCATTTATAAGATTGCGTATGTTCTTATCTTTTGTCATCTAACATAACACAATTGGTTATCAATCTTGTCCTCGGACGTAATACGCGTCTACTCCTGGCATGTTTGTCACCCATAGAAATTTCTCAAGTTGGATAAACCAATAAGCAAACTCCAGGACAATATAGTATTGTATAATATTATCCGTATTTGCGCGAATAATTCTTCTATTTTCCGCGCTTTCGTTGCTTGACACTAAAAAATTTTCTATTCAGTTAGTCAATCACAATAGATTTTTGCAGAAAGCATAGAGTACTTACTTACTCGGCGTTTGTCCTCATCCAAGACGTCTTTGTAAGTCTGTTCGCGAATGTTCTATAAAATCAAGGAAATCCATTAATTAATATTAATATTAGTGGCATTAAATGGTATGACAATATTTTTGTATTACAGAATTGATACAATGATAATAAGAAAGATTAAACAAAATGGGAGTAAATAACTGATCTCAAATAATAACCAACGCTCATGTTAATAATACTAATACTATTGATGTTGGACTCTAGAGAGCTCCATATCCGACGTTTGCGACGAGATACTCAAGGCATTGCCCGTAACAATGCTAGCATCATGTGCCCGGCGTTAGAACGCATCTAGAGTCCTGCATGGCTCATGTTTAACCGACTGTTCCCGCATTATAGCTGGCATCATCATTAAAGCAAAGACTATTACAATCAATAATACCTCCTTCATTTTCGCGAATTCTGCCTGTGCACATTGCTGATTCTTTATGTCCTTCTTCGCCTTGAATTCCTTAATGTCTTCACTGAGGTCCGTCTCATACCACTCAATGGCTGCATTTAGCGAAAGGCTTGCCAGTGATTCCATCATCCCAAAATATGCGTCACGAAGCCATGTTTTAAAATAGAAGGATGAGTGTTTTTTGCGAGCGTTTTTGGTAGAAATAGGTTTCAGACATTTTGCGTATTAGTCAAGAAAAGTTTCGATAAGTACAACTTTATTGCTGAACTACATTTACATGCTAAAAAGCTCGAATTATGATCACACAGATGAACATACTACTAGTATAGTTGCGCGCGGGTGGGTACTAATGAAAATCACCGCCTATTACAGGATCAAACATACTTTATTGTTATCGAATCTTTATGAATTCAGAACTCTTGATTGATGGATGACAGGGTCTATACTTTTCAATCGCGCATTACCCAGTTCAAAAATATTCTGATTGGATAATGGTTTATCACCAACCTCAAGGATTACTATATTTGGTTTTCTAATCGCTGAGACTTTTGGTTGGCATATCTAAAGGCACATAACAGGAGACACCTTTTGCCTTTTATAGTTTGCTGACCCGGGATAGCTTTTATATAACAGAAACGCAGCGTTGACCCGATGAATTGACCAAGGAGTTTGTGCATGGCTTGTAGCTTTCTTCGGTTGATTCCTTCCATTATAATTTCCTTTAGGATTGTTCGTTGTATATTTAAGCAAAATCAGTAGCGGGTCCTTACATGCAGCGAGTACCATTAAGAATATACTATAGAGAATATACGATGTGACAAAGCACAAGTGGGCTATCGGGTCCGTACAAAAAAGGTCCTTATAAAAAGAGTTGACTTTGGGGAAGGAGAGTTATGAAACGATACATGCAATGGATTCTGGGTATATATACGCGCATATACAGTGTGTAACAGAAAAATAAAAACTGAAGCAGGTAAACGATCAGTAGATGAAAATAAATGTAAAACAGCTCATTTGAAACGTCGAGTCCTCTAGATTATTTAACGATAGTAATAGGGTAATATAGTATTCTTTCACGACTTCTTTCAATAAAAAGCTTGCAGAGCGTTTTTATAGGGTTAGCAAAATTAATTAGAACCGTATCAGGAATTTCTCTGCCATTTCTCATTCTATATTTATCTCGACTACATTCCAGATATTTATAATTAAATTCAAATTTGGACTGTTGGATGGTCAGTTTATTAAGTGCCCCCACATTATTATTAAGAATGATTTAACAATTTTGTTGGTATTGTTAAGACTGTTGCCCTTTCTGGTAACTATAACCTTTTTAAATGTCTCAAAATTGTTATGCAAAATACAGTTATATCGTTAGTAGCATCTAGTCGCCAAAGTTTTCAATGACAAAGACGTGTCTTATGTTTGTGCTGCGCCACGTAATTTTTTTGGTCAGCCGTTACTTCCCTTATGTAAAACGTCACAAGTTTATTTTTTGTTAATATTGTAATAGATTGCTGAGAATCATATGTTAGTAAGAATGTGCAACTGCTTTGCAGATTTGACACCATTGTTCCACGAGTGTAATGGGTTTGACAAGAGCACTTTCGTTCCAATAGAAGAACCTTTGAAAATGAATCATGATGTCAAAATAAAGTTTTACTATATATAAAGCGTGTTTGTTTGAATGTTTTGAGACTCGGGTTGAATACAAGTTGGGTGAATAGTGATTGATTAAACTACATGATAAAATTTACAATTTTTTTTGTTACACTCTGTATATGAGAAACGCGGTAGATATGTAAGATGCTACATATTTGTATTACGGGAGGCATTTATTTCACCGATAATCATTTCACCGACAGTACATTTCACCGACAGTTATTTCATGTGACACATTGTTTATCGCACTTGTCATTGGTTTTCGATGAAATTTATGTCGACGAAACGTACTGTCGGTGAAATGATTGTCGGTGAAATGAATCGGACCCCATCAGTTCTCAACAGCCTTTCTAAATAGAATAATACTGTATTTAGGTTTTGTGTGACATAAAAATTCGTGCGAATAAGTCAGGTTCATTTCAGCCAAGCTCTTTATTGTACCTCTGTATGCATATATGTTAAAACTAGCTTTAGCAGTTTATCTGTAGTTAGACAATAAAGTTCTAAATTTAAAAAAAAATAAAATAAAATAAGTCAGGTTCATGTGAAAAATAAATAATTTTCAATTTAGTCGATGCCCCTTGATGCCAATATCTATTTAAGGCAATAATTACCCAATTTGATCGGGGCATCGCGCTGTTGAGAAGCCCTTTGTCTGCAGCTTGATAATTACGACAATGAGTATTATTTTCAAGTATATACTGTACAGATATATAAATAAACATGTACCACCATTCGGTTGCGGTATTAGAAAATTTGCTACAGTGACAGTATCCTAAATATTATATGGGAAATAGCTTTTTCCAGAGAACGAGCTTTTCAGTCGGCAAGTAGCAGAGTGAGAGAGAACAAATAACTGAAAGCCGTAATACAGGCGCATGTCATATAAACATTGAATTTCATGGGAAGACAATTACATGTCCTATAATTTCAATGTTAATCATTCACAATTTTGCTTTGTAGAATAGACGTACAATTAATTACGCCGAGACATAAAGACGATGTGATATGATTGTATCCCTTCCGTTATTTCTGCGTTGTTGATATTACACAGTAACATGGAATTTCGGAATGCTTGTTAGATTTTGTGTAATAAAAGTAATTATTATAATATCAGCTTTTTTAAACTTACTCTGGACATATTTAAACTATGCCATCAGTCAAGAAAGAATCTAAATTAATCATAATGACACTGACTTTGATGAATTTGTTGATTCTATTAATAATAATGTAACAGATAAAGGATTGTTCTTCAACCTCGTATATCAACTTTGATATCATACCCATTGATTATCGCTATCAACATAAATCACTTAATATTATCAGGAATTTACCTGCTAGGTCGCACAACCCGACACGGCGTACAGCCTATCATATCTCTATTTATGTCCAATGTTTGAGCCTGTACCACCTGGCAGGTTGTGGTTATACTTTGATATTAATATAGTCCAATGAAAATCTATCCTAGAAATCATATTGCGGTGAAGTTACACATTATTTGTTATGCGACGTAGCACAGAAAATACTTTATTCAATATTAATATGTCGTTAGTTCCATGGGTCAAGGCGCAATATGTATAATCTAGCAATTGACAACTTGGTTCGTGAATGTAAAGGACTTGAATGGATTCCTTGCTCGCAAATAACCGGCATACCGTCACGCCCAATTGACAACGTCTACTGCGCCATTCGTAAACATGAACTGTATTATGGCGAAGTGAAGGAAACGCTGATAATACTGCTATGTATTGGAAGTAATGAAGAATGTTCACCACTACTTGTGAGAGAGTTTGCCAGAATCTACTCACTTCCGACAGAAGAGTATAATTATGATATCAGTCAATTCAAAAGATATTCCAAGTGGCTGTTGGATCGCAACAAACTCCTACAAGGATTTACCGAGTATGAAAACAACTATTACATGGTTGCTCATATAGACTTTAACTATTGTTATTCTCGATATGGATTCTGCACCGCATGTGGAATACTCCGATGTAGTCCTGTGTGGTGCATTTGTGGACATAAAGAATTATCCAACGGATGGACTAGCAACAATAAGCAACTCGACGAGTTTATCAAGAAATCTCAATTACAAACGAGCTCAGCAAATCAAGCCTATTTGGAATGGATTCCAATTGATTGTATTGAGGATAGGGGAAAATATGGCGTAGGGTTGTATGGACTGCCTGCTCGTTGGGTTAAATTGACTCTGCTTGAAATAACGGATGAGACAGATGATTTATATTATGACAAGGTGACTATTAAGTACAAAGGGAGGTACACTTCACCGACAGTCATTTCACGTGACACATTGTTTATCGCGCTTATCATTGGTTTTCGATGAAATTTATGTACTGTCGGTGAAATGATTGTCGATGAAATGAACCGGACCCAGTACAAATATACTATGTTTATTCATTGTGAGATAAATATTGACTTACGATTACACACTAGTTATGTGATGAGCATTCAGATATTCTTACCACAGATGTTTGGGTTACCATCGGATTCACATATGATGCACGTGGACGGAAGTATTATCTGATAAAACACCGTGATGAGGTTGGTTTATGTCTGGCGTGTATGCAGCAATTAGAACCCAAGATAAATGCATTCTGTTACAAATGCAAAGCACCAAGACCTCCTGATTGGACTATGGGCAAAAATGATTTGGATTTATTCATAATGGAATCATGGAGGAATGTGAAGAATAAGTACGATGCTTATATACAATGGATAGAGTATTCTCTATTGATGAATGTACGAGAGGTGGCCTCATTACGCCATGGATGCACACATATGGCGAAATGGTTAGAACCGACGGCAAATGAATGGACAGAAGTGACACTCAAGCAGATAGACGATACTCAATCGCTTGATCCTTATCAGGTAAATTATTTCTTCGCGTGTAAAATAATGCAAATAGTATCAAGTATGCATTGCGTTAATTGTTGTAATGATTTTATTGTTTATTTAAACAGCTAATCAAGGATTACCCGAGGATATTAACACCAGATAATATTTGGATAGCTGGAATCACTCAAGAACCATCTACTGGGGAATATTATTTAGTTTTCTATTATGATATACATGTAATATTGGACAAGTTTATACAACTTAGCGGACATGTAAGACACATGCAATATGCCGACTTTTATGAACTCAAAGAGATCGGTTCTGGTGGTTATGGAACAGTCTATACTGCCAAATATAAAAACTATTTAGCAGAAAAACGTATGCGAGAAACCGTCGTCGCCCTTAAACGTTTCAAGAGTTTTAATGAAACGCCGGAAGTATTTATTTCCGAGGTAAGCATTTTTTGATATCGTTAATCAAAGTGATATTTAATCCGACTCTACTTATTTATTTGTTTATTTAATAGTTCAGAAATCATGCCACGTGCACAAACCGATTTTCTACTTTTCTTCCTATTTATGGAGTGACACAAGACCCAGAAACAAAAGAGT